GGTGCGAATCCAAAGAAATCGACAATCACGTCTGACGTTCGACAGGAACTTGCCGCTGTCATATATGTACGTCAAGGTTTATAGACCGTAGCCTTTTATGAAGCTCCTTTCTTTTCAGGACACAAATGTGCTCGGATTTAAAGGACCTCGAAAAATGCATATATTGATCCCTGGTATTTACGATGTCAATACCTATGAACGCAAGTCGATTCGTCCAGTTGCGGTGGGTATTTACTCCAAATATTGAAATTTTTCTTCCTTCCTGAGCTCTGGGTCTTACTTTGTAATAAAGCCTGGCCTATTTAATTCATTGGGATACGGTATGTTATGAAAAAGTAGGCCGTGATGAGTGCATTGGCATGGGACAAACTCGGCTCTGAAGAGAGTAATGATCTCAACGAAGGTTCAAAGCATGTGACTTCTTGAAATTGCAATATTTGAGTGAAAAGAAACGAATTTTTTCACTATTTTAGTTTAAATTGTGACGTCAAGGTAGCGGCCACAGGGAAGCCTCAGAGGTTAACGGAATTAGTGGAATTCAGAGAAAATCTGATTGTCTGCCCTGATAATTGCGCTTCTTTTGTCAGCGCTTGCGTAAAACGAATACCGTAATCTTTGTTCAGGCTAAAGACACATTACTGGAACGATATCGTCAACGACGAACTGATGACATCATAGTAATGCAGAACAAGAGTCCTGTGTGGAATGAAGGTACCGTAGCTTAGATCATAATTTGTGCTTCGGACCCTGTTGAGAGAGAGCGACAAAAACCCTAACATTTTCTTGCGGCTTCTCTCTTTTACTGGCTCTCGCTTTTCGTAAAAGCCAAAACATTCCGAAATTGTCGGCTTTTATTTCTAAATGCATTTTACAGATTCACAGTCATATGTGCTCAATTTCCATGGCCGCGTCACCCAGGCATCTGTGAAGAATTTCCAGATTATTCACGACCATGACCGTAAGTTTGCACAATATTTGACCAAAAACATGGTAAACAGTAGGAAAAAATCGAATAGTCGCTTCAAATAATGTCTCAGAGCACTGTGAGAGGATGGAATGTTATGAGTGAGGAGTTCGATTTTGGACGCGTTCCAATCTGGGCTTTACAGGCACCGCATCTTATTGAGATCCTACCGAAGCTTAGGTGAAGGTGATCTTTCGATAGTACTTGATCCCATCTATTCAGATTAACATTTTGGACACCCTGGGTTCTCGGTCTGACCCGGGACAGGGTGAAGTGTGGAATGCCAGATTTCGCTTTCGCCTGCGCCACCCCTTCCCATTCATCACTCCATAAACTCTTTTCCAAATGATCCCTCCCTCAAATTCTTCACCCATACTACCGCTTGGAGCAGGAAAAGTAATAAAAGGTTAATCCCTGGTCCTGGAAGTATATTTCGGTTCAAAACGTTGTCTACGCCCCCTCTTTACCGAGTGAGCGAATTAGGCCTTCTAGGAAAAACCAATCCCTGCTCGCTACCCCGATAGCAATAAGGTGCACTAAATAAAGGTGCACTAAATAATCTCTGATTAGCGAATAGAGAGTGAATAAGTAAACAAACTGTTTAATCAATAAACAAATAAATCGATTTCATTGCAGCCGACTATATTGTGATGCAGTTTGGTCGAATATCAGACGAAAGCTTTTCCATGGATTTTCGATATCCGCTCAGTGCTCTACAGGCTTTCGGAATCGCTATGACCAGCTTTCATGGTAAACTCGCTTGTGAATGAATCCCGTCCAATCGGATGGCTCCTACCATCCAGCTCGTCCCTATCGTTCCCTTCCTACAGTACAGGTCGATCTTGGCATCTTCCGGATGTCCCTTACAGTATCCCTTTTGCCTTCAACACGTCATCATCAGTCCGATTCCTATGACAAGTCTTCATATTCTAGTCCATCTTGAAAGGCCAATTTGACATTTTTTCTGTATTTCACTTGTTTTTTTCCCTTTCGAGATGTTTTTGTGAATTCTTATAAATAAACAATTTTCGAGAATTTCCTGTACCCATACATTTGTGTTCCTGCTTCTCAGCTATGGTCAGGTTGCCGCCTTGGACCACCGCGGGAATGTCGCGTCCAGCCAAAGAGTGATTCTCAGTCGGAAAAAACTACTTTCTACCCAGTATGCCATGAATACTTTAGATTCGATGGTCTTCTCTAAAAGGGGCCCTAGACTGCCGGAAACTTTCGATGGTTGTTTGAAGTACACAACTTCCTTTAACTATCTCGATGGTTCCTGATTGGCAACGCCGATGGTTGAGTGCAGAAAACGCGTTTACAGTCTTCGAACCAGTTCCCAAACTACTGACAGCCCTGAACCAGACGAAAAGTTGCATTTTCCGATTGCTACAGGAGGAATTCTGCAATTACTCTAGACAAACATCGTGGTCACGTCATTTTCCGGTTCATGCAAACGATTTGAGTGAACGGGAAAAGCTTTAAATTAAGATAGTTCATTGGAAAATGTAACAAAACGTCTGTTTTCAGCTTAGACTCCATAGAACATCAAGTCTGTTACCGATCTGAGGTGAAATTGATCCAAATATACGAAACCTGGGAAAATTACAATGGGTCAGAAGAGGTGTAGAATCGGAAAAGTGCGTTTAGAGTTTTTAAAAATCCCAGCTCGCTCGGAAACCGTCAGAAGTCATCGCACTATGTTAAACCGTGGAAGACAAATCTGAAGCCAAGAATACATCTAACGAAGTACTGTGAGCTAGTGTTGATATTTATTTACATACCAACCAATTTTAGTTCCTATCGTTTGTGGATCGTTTATTATTATATAATATTCTTAATTACTATTATCACCAATATATGTTCTACGGTGTAATCCGTACTACGGCACCCTATACCAATGATATTCGATTTACCCCGGTAGAGGGTTGCTGACGAAAATACGGTTATAAGCTCTCCAGAGCCCGATCAGACTGCATTTTCCGAAAGTAAGGCTCCTGCTGTCAGAATAAAATTCGAAAAAGATAGATAAAGTTGTTTTGGAAATTTTCAAAAAATTGCTCCAGCTGAAATTATAATTGGTCGGGGTACCTAATCTGACTAGATACCTGAAAAAAGGGCCTCCTTCGAGTTGGAAGAGTCGAATGGAGCTTAAGATTCGTTCTCAGAAATATTCTGATTATATCGTTGAAGCCTTGACCTTTTTTTTTTCTCTGATAGCATCTTCACCTACAGCTCAATGACACAGCATGAAGTAAACACTTTAATTGTATTCGTAAACACCGCGACACGGTCAAAGATAATGATATCAAAGGAAGGAGGACCTTCACAAACTAAAAAATTACCAGTGCTATGAAAAGGTCCAGTTTTTACGAGTCTTGGGCTGATTGGATGGTCAGATCCTAGATATAAGGGATTAAGGGTGAGAGATGCTGGCTGTTCTTCTTTCGGGTTGCGCCATATAATCGAGTTCCTTTCATACTCGCGATGGCATTTGATTTGCTCAAAGAGCGTAGTGCTATGGTCGGTCGTTTGTAAATAGATGTTTCCATCCTTCCATAGAGCTGAGCAGATTTATGAAAAAAATACAAAATCATTTGATGGCTCTCAAAAATCGTTTCGGAGATTGTTTCGATTTTTATTTTCAGTCGACAAAATGTCATAACGCAAAAGCAAGAGCTTAAGCGATTTGAAAGAATGCCATGGATGATTGTGAACGTGGCGAGCGTATGAGGACTGACTCATCTTTCTTCTGTGCTCTAACACACAAAAGGCCATGGTAGAATGACCGGAGCGAAGGTAACATCGCACTGCACAAATCATTTTCACACAGCCACTGGACGCCGGTCACCCTACCGCTGGTCTTCGGATAATTGCTTATGTTGAGGGATACTTCATGAAATTCCTTCCATTCACTCCCTGAACCTTGCATCAGCGATTATTCTAGACAGTGCGGGTGGCGTTCCGTCCGTTTACGGTAGCCCCGATAGTTTTAGCCCCAGCTTCTCGACGTTTATGAATTATGTATATGTACTCCATTAGGCGTTTGCTGAAGATCGATTATGAGAAAACAGCCGTGTCATGTCGAATACGGTATAATCTTCGAGAAAGCATTTCGTATTGTTCTGGGAGATTGCCCCCGTCCCACGTTCGAACACGATTCCCTCCAGGCCCTGACCATTACCTTTCTTGGAGGCTCTCAAAAACGATCACAGATCGACCCAACAGCACGTCATTTCTATGTCTGGCAACATTCCTGAAACGTTGAGTGCACTCCGTCTCCCATGATGGTAATATAGTAATGCCCCGCCTGTTCTGTCCTCCCTCAGGTGCTTGTTTTTCTCAACCTACTCCCACACTCTCCCCCCCCCCCCCCCCCCCCCCCCCCCCCCTTACCCCACCACCTCTGCCAATTGTTTTCGCGTGTGTATGCCCCCGTAGGTCGCGAATTGTTTCGTCTTCGCCACAGTAACCTGTTCTCCTCTTTTACCCATTATATTTAGTTAACACTGTCCATTGCCATTCACTCCGAACAGCCTGCGATCGGTTGTGCTGCTGCTCGCCCTGCTCCTCATGCTGTTGTGGTTGCTCTCTCTTTGGGTCCTTTCTCCAGGTTTCATATTCATTTCCTTATCAACTGATGGTCTGTCACTTTCATCAACGCAGCTTCTTCATAGATCGTTTATGCCAGGCGTTCCCGTCTGAAACTCGAAACTGTTCATCTTCATCTTCTGGTTCGCGAGCCGCGGACAAATACGACATCCTCCCCTTGCAGCAAGTTCGAAATTCCAACGGAATTATTAGAGTCTTAAGCAAAAAATTGATGAATGAGGCCGCATCGAAAACGGAAAACTACGAAAGCTCGTTGAAGAAATCTGAATTTTCAGCCGAAAAAAACGACATCACTCTTTTGGATGTCATTAGGTGAAAGTGACTAAGGGCTTAGAAGCTTTCGGGGAATCTTCCACGAACATCTGAGTGAATGGTATTGTACTGAAGGTGGAAGTAGAGCCAGAGGCGGACGACGACGACGACGGCATTGACGGTATGCCGTTTGACCTTCTGGGAAAACTACGCCAAGTTCAAAGTGTTCCGCTTTCGGCACCCGCTGATAGATGAACGTCGTCGGTCGTCGGTTGGTCGGTCGGTGTATGGGAGTGTATGTGCGTGTGTGAGTGTTTGTACGGGGGTATGCGTGTGCAGGCAATGATGATGATCTGATGTCCCTGATAATTCTCGCCGAACCGTTTGAAATCTAACAAGAACTCGATTCTTATGTTCATTAGATATCCGTTCACTTTTTACATTTTCTGAACTTCCGCGAATCCACACACCAATACGCTCCCGATAACCGCACACACAGCACACATACACACACCCAGACAGACAGTCTGAGACACCACTTCAACACCACTACTGAATTACCTTGCACACGTTCCTTCCGCCATTCTTTTCCTCACCGCCTTTCCACCTCCTTCCTCTTTCTTCCTGTCTTCCCTTCGCCTACTCTGTCCTTTTCAGAGATGCCGGTTCAGACGGACAACTTTCTAGGAAATTTTGGGTTCAACTTTGATTTTGATGCATGCATCAATGTCCGTAGCAGTAAAGAAGGAAACGATATCGGTCAGCCTCGTTACCATCCAAAAACCGGACATTTTAAATTTAGCAACGGTCCTCTTTTAGACGAACCAGTACTAGCCCATAGACTAGTCCTGTCGTCAGCCTCAGCTCGATTTCGGAATCTACTAGCTGCTGGTCAACCTGAAGATGCCATGGCAAAGATAGATATCGATCTGAGAGAAATTCCGAATTCAATTAATGCTTTTAAAGCGATGCTTAGTGGACTATATACTGGCGAGTTGAACTACTCGTTAGCCGATCATGCCGAGGTTGGTTGTTAGGGCTGAATTCCATTCAAAAACATATATTACAATAAATAAAAACAAAAATCAATCGGATGAATGCTTCTGTTTCAGATTCTCGCGGTCGCCCGGCACTGCCAGGTGCCGACGATAGAGAGCAAATTGTTGGCAGCCAGCCAAGACTTGAATCCATTCTCGGCCCTTTTGCCACAACATAAACTTCCACCGATCGCTTCAACTCCATCATGTAAGGTTTGCCTTCGAAGGAGGTTTTCTGAAAGGGACGATAGCCCAATTTTTCCAGGGCAAACCTACTTTCACACGCTGCTAGCGCTATATATGCAACCAGGCTTCTTGGCTTCCACTTTGGGAGCCGGTATACTCCCATGCCAAACGAGTTCGCTACTGGCTCCACCGACTCCTCCAGTAGATGACAACAGGTAAACTACTTTTTTATTGGTCGAGAACGACCTTTTCTGAGCATGTCCGAAATGGAGCTGTTCCAGAGCCCTTACCGACGACTCGACATCTCCACGGGTCTCACCAACGATATTCAGTGAGAAAATCGTGCCCAACGACGACAAAGAAGGTTCGTTCCGAACAGTTTGACTTCAGGCCCCCCACCTTTTGTTCTTTCCCGATTTCACCGTAACCTGCAAGCGTTCCCCCTCAGCTTGGCTAACCACTTAGTCAGCCTTGTTTCTTTTCTTCGTTCTACTGATCCAAACGTACAAAATGTCACTCGTCGAATGGCGTCGGTCCGATCATGAAAAGAAGACCGACGTCCATAGCGCGAGAGCAACATTTCCATATGCCCATACCCATACCAGGAGAACGCCACCTTCAGCCACCAGTCACCATAGAAGTGCCCTTTACACCTTGAAATTATCCGAAAAAATTTTCAGGTTGGTGTCGAAATAAAAAATATATCGAAAAAGTCGACAATGGTTTTATGTGTACGGTATGCCGAAAGATCTATGGCAGATACAATTCTGTTTCTTATCATGTGACAATCTATCATCGCAATCCTCCAATCAGGTCTAATATCATTACTTATCACTTATGATTACAAGTTACCCTTTCAAAATGCTCCCAAATAATCCCCGAACTTCAGATGTGACGAATCTGGTTGTCAATTTTCTACACGGGAAGCACGATATATCCATTTCCACAAGTACTACAGGCATCATATACCTCTTCCAGACAGTATTGACTTAGGTAAGTAAGTAATCAATCATTATAATAGTACAAAAAGAGGACAATACTGGAAATGTTCCTGAAAAAACTGCCAACGAAATCGGTATGCTCAGGGACAATTCCCGGAAAGGCGCCACTTTGCTGCTTCTTCCTTCTTGAAAGTTATCGAACAGGCAGATTCCGACAAAGCCTTTGTAAATGCTTCTCTAAAAAGCCTTGAAAACGTTTCTTTCTGAAAAAATGGCAATTACGTTTTCAAAGCAGGCTTACATTGGAATTATGCAAAATTCGGGTCTTTCTAATGGATCGCATCTGTTTCCACATGCTGTTTGCATATGTTTTATAAATTTTCCACCGACATTTCGATATAAGACCACTTAATTTTTCTACAACCGGACCTTATGCCCCTCGGACAAAGAGCACTTTTAAGAATGTCCAGGAGTCCCGAAGTTCCGTCTGCGTTTCTCATATTGTTCTTTGCAGGTTCCCGGAAATGCCCATTTTGTCGTCATGTGTCAAAAAGTCCAGCCATGCTTGAGAAGCATATCGCTAGGCATGTGCCTGAACGGAAAGACAAATCCGCTGAAAGCTACAATTGTGATCAGTGTATGTACAGGTGAGTAATCTAACCAGTTACCGTTGTGTACAAAACTCCCTACTAGAAATCTTCCCGGGATGGACTTGAACCCTTGACAATCAAAACAACACGACAGACGTCTTATGGAAAGTCCTATGCCAACCTAATAATTCAACAGTTACCGGGGTAATGACGCAGTAATTTCACGTCAGATACCGTAATCAGTCGGAGTAGAGCGCATAGTTTAGCGTATAGACGAAGACGATGGCGGCGGCAGCGGTAGCGGCGGCAGTGGTGGGTGGCAGTGTAGCGGCGGCGGTGGCGCCGGTGCTAGCGATACCGTATGCGCTTGGTCACGATCAATCACCTGGAATGCGACCCCGTTTTCGCGTGTTTTGCTGAAATCTAGTTCTTCATGAAATTAACTAGCGCATAGTATACAAAGTGTAATAGTTGACTTGATGAATACGCATTTTTTCTGGTTCTCCTTTGTTGAACTAAGCACTCGCCTACCGCCAAAGACTGTTACAAAACTTCTACAATTTAAAGTGTTTGCCCAAATACCCAGACAAACAACTAAGCTTCCCGAAGAGGTATTTGCCGAACAGCGTCACCAAGAGGAAGATTCCCTTCGGACTCGAAAGAGCCATTTGTCTATTGACTCGCGTGGACAATTAGATTTGAATGGCTAATATGAATGAATAGCAAGGCAAAAGGGACAGAGAACGAGGTGCGCCATGCACCTGAATCTAACGGGAACTAGTGGGAACTAGTAGGACCACCCGTACCACATAACGGACGACGAAGTCGCACAAACGTAAGAAGCTGTGCCTCTACTTCCACATAGGTTAGGCCTAGGGGGACAAAAAATTTTCGAGTCCTGACCCAGCTCATGTTCAATGATGAGCCGCTCATTACTCCATCGCTCCGACAGGTGGAAGAAAAACGTCTGAGACAGGAAAGAAATTCTGTCACACAACTTTGACTTCCAACTTAACCTCTATAAAGTTACCAGGCAAAGTTGCGTGAGTGCGCCTTGCACCTAAACCTTTCTCAGAGTTATGGACATAAAGGAATGCGCATCAGCATTACATGTACAAACACTTTACTGTTAAGTACTAGAGAAAGGCACTATTTCTACGTTTCTGGAACCGACAGACTGTGTGTTTACGAAAAAGAAAACGAGGAAACGAAGCAAGAGAAAAACGAACACCGAATCAGCGCTACTATTTCATTTCTGCAAAAGAACACCAATGGAAAAAAATCGTGGAAAAAGTCAGCGCGTAAGTAATGAGCAAAATTAATTGTTCATTTTCATCAGACAGTCAGAAGGCGCATTATCGCACATGCATGGTCCGGGGATCACTTCCATGCTCGATACTCGCTCATTCCAATCAAGCTTTCAATACCTCCGCGGTCAGTCTGTTGGTAAAAGACGTGCCTGGGAGGATAGAAGAACTGAAGTCACATCGGCTGCCCATAGTCAGTCATTGTATGGGCGATGTACGCATTCGAAATGCCACTACAGTTTTGAATAGGAGTTGAAAGGGAAGGCTCATCCTAAAGACGGGATCGATCCACGTCCGGAAACTTTNCCTTTCATCGTTTTACCGCATACGCGTTACAGCATATTTTATACATGCTGGATAGATTCGAAACTCTCATTCCCCTGAAGAGAAATAATGCGACAACCTATAAAATCGTAATCTTGTACGTGGAGGGACTTTCTGGAAGATAGGCAAGTTTCCCATGAGCACGAAACTTCCTTTTGTTCCATTGAGCATTGACGTAAGAGAAATAGTTGGGATCAGGAGAAGTTCCTTCGAAACGATTGAAGCACTCGAACTTGTAACCGATGATTGAGTGGCAAAGCTCGGTTGCAGATGGAGGGCACCATCTGCATCTGACCTCGACCTTCACTTAAAATTGCTCTTGAGAAACAACCAAGCAACAGTAAACAAACAAATACAACCAGTCCTGCTTCCGATAGAAATTCCTCAAGTGTTTCTTAGTTGTAAACATCTCCATTACAAATTAGAACAAAACAATGAAGGAAAACTTCGAATCTCTCTTGAGCTCTATATGGAAATTGATTTCAGAGGAAAGTCGGAGGCGTTTCTGGGACGCCACAAGCAGTTTGCACATTCCGCGGACGTTTTTTCAGAAGAAATTATCTGCTCATTATGCCAGTACTCATCCACCTCTAAGCAATCCCTCCTTCTACATATTGCCTCAGCTCATTCTCCATCAGAATCCAGACCTATGGTTGAACCCACCCCACAAGTACTTCCAGAGCAGATTCCAACTCTTGAAATCTAAGTCTAGAAGTTGTCCTATTTGGTACCAATTTCCATCACAATAACAAGGAATAGTACTAGAGCAGTAACTATTTCTATATCCTTCATTTATATTATAGATATATGTATATGTATCTACCATGGTACGCCCTTAATTACACCAAAATTCACCAAATTCCAAGTTCAAAGTAACGTTGGCAAAGCTTATTAGTCTAAACAAACCGGTACCTTACCAAATACTATGAACCAATACAGTACCCTAACTAGTAGATCTAGTGAAATCCGCCCTATTATCTATCAGAGGTATGGGCATGCCATTTCATGAACCACATGATCTTCTCTCTAACGGCTAATTCTATGCCAGTTCAAATTGCCATTTCCTTGCCATGACCATATAAACCGAAATACAGCACATCTCAGTTAGCTTACTACGAAGCTCAATACTCTCACTTCCTCTAGGAGCCTTGCCACAATGTCTCTACGGATTACATAATTCATTTCTTTTCTGTGCATTTAGCTTTACATATGGCCTTCGGACAAGTATCTATTACTCATCTGTTTATATGTGATAAGGAATGGAATAAATAATAATTCATTCAATCATCAAGTTCTGAGATCGATCCTCACTCACAATCAGAGGTGCAGCCATCCTTACTGTGCATTTCTGAAGCTCAATGAGATTTAGCTAGTTGTTCAAAAAAAGTGGAGCTTCGAGATGGCTATACCCCAAATTCCCCTCGCAATAATCTCTGGCCCAGTTATAAAGACGTTTGTACAGGTAATTCTACATAACGAAAATTCCTAATATGCCCAGCATAGCTTCAGAAAAGAAGAAAGAATATCGAGAACGAAAAAAACATAAAAACATAAAAATGGTCTTACTCAATCCAAGTGAAAACGATTAAACAACATTACATGAACAAATTAGTCGCATTCAAAATCCCATTTGAATTCTTTTGTGAGGTATAATTTGAATTGCGCTGATTTCTTTTTCAACTCCGTCGAAGCAATATCGGAATCTGAAAAGAAAAACTTCACAAAAAAGTATGATATGCCTTCTATAAAACAGGTTCTCTAATTGTATTTTAGTTCACGGAACAGACTGGTTTGTTTCATAATGAAAAACACTGAATTCACCTCTGATATTCGCGAATAACATTGACAGAGTCGTAGTAAGGAAATTGTCGCGAGATACTATGTCGACGAAAAAATCCGTAGGACACTCTTTTAACTCGAAAAATAGAACCTTAAAAATGATGTCACATTACACTTCATAGGAATGACACAATAATAAGATCGTAGAATCGCAAACCAAATAGACAATGACCTACTCTGATGAACGATATGTACATGTCTGATCGGGGACCAAGTGCAGATGGGCAACAACACAACAAATGAATCAAACGTTTCCACTGTTCAAATCCTTCGAAAACCTTAAAGTGAGAGAAAATAACTTTGCCAGGAACAGAAGAAGAGATTCGTCTAGATGTTGCTAGAGAAGATTTGCCACCAAAGCCTTCTTTTTAAAACACGAAGAGTAAAACGTCGAAGGTAATGAGAAGTTGAAGGCGAATAATTTGAACAGACAAACCCTCTCAGAAAAAAAAGATTACTAACCTGACCAATAAGGAAACAGGCGAAAGCAAACTGAACTTCCGCTAGTAGCTGCTTCCAGTCTCCATTCAACTGGCGTATCACTCTCTCTAGTCGATCAGTATAGTCGATGCCGACACGGTTTTCCCCCACCTGGATATGAATAATAAAAAAACCAATGTAGCAGTTTGTTTAGAAGAGGGACAACACGAAAGGCCATTATTCCCCGAAGCATATTATCAAAGATGACTGCCAAAACTAGTGATCTTTCAAATACATCAGACAGTCGCAAATTTATAGTCAAACAAAATCGCTTGAGTTTCTAAACGACGAACATATTCTAATGCAACAGTGATAAACACTATTCTCCTCTAAACTTTACTATCGAACGGAACCTCCACACATTATGGGCCGATGCCTACCTTTAAAATGTGGTACTTTATTAACAAAGTCTACCGAGGTTGGCTGGGGATTTATTAGTGATCTGTATTGTAACAATCATCAGCCACATTAGTAGCGAAGTTTTTGTATTGCTTGAACAATACGCAACTTAATACCCAGTATATCAGTTTTGGAAGTACAAAACAACAACACTGCAACTATGAGCACTGAACACGAAAACGTAAGCTCTAAAGCATCCACTTAAAGAAGAGTAGTTCACAATCGCATAGTCCCATGAGAGGATAAAGAAAGCTCAATCCACTCACTGCGAGCAATAATGAAATATTAATAGAATGAGAAACTTGGATCATTGAAGAAAATTCTCCATGAGTTGTGAACTACTCTTCTTTCAGTATAATCGGTCAAGCCCGATTTTGAAGTAAGCAGAGGTATTAAACTAAAACGCGCAAATCCTATTTTCCTATGGATAACAACGTCTTCCGGAAACCCATCCTTAACAAATCCGTAGACGATTTCCGGAATCCCATCCTTAACAAATCCGTAGACGCAATTGTCGCCTTCAGTGGTATAAATGCAGGTCCACAAAGATTCATTTCTAAATTAATCACTGAGGTCTTCTAAGAAGCCCGGCTAAATTAGTTGCCATCAGAAATCATAATTTTAACGTGAACCTCTCCACCAGCTATCTTGATTTTTTTCTTGAATGTTCACAGTGATAAGAGAGTTCTCAAGAACATTCTTCGTCTACTTATTTGCCTCGTGACACATCGTGAAATATCATGAAGCAAGGTTCGATAGAAGCATGGCTTTGCAAATCTTTAACATGACAACAATTATTTTAGTAAAAGCGCTAACTCCAAGCGCTACTTAGGCAATCGGCTTCATCAGAACATGAATTAACAGTGAAAAAATCTTAGCAAAAAAAGGGGAAGGAAAATGAAAGAAAAGGAAATTAAAGGGACGAAAAACCAACCCTCAATTGTGGTATTCCAATGAATCGAATTTCATATCCTTCTCTGATTTTCATTATGGGCAGTCCTTGTGGATCCACGAATCGAGTACGAGTAGGATGTTCTCGATCAACGCTATTGCTGCATCCAACAGTTGCATTGAGCTCAACTTGCGAAAATTTTGAACATCAGATGATCAATATGAAGTTGTTAAGTCGATCGACAAATTGAAAATCACGGAAACTGGATGATACCTCTTCGTTTTCCATTAGGCACGTTTCCATGCTGACAAGCTCTGCTTGGGCAGAGATCTGACCCTTCAGTGGATTCAACCTCAAAATACGAAGCAGTTAATGGAAGCATATAGAGGTACCCGGTGCTTTACCTCTCTAATGTCTCTCCGGTGACAAAATCTGTGAGCGCATACCAGCTGCGGTAGTTCTCGAAAGGATATGGTCCCAGGTGAGAGTCGATGTTCTTCAAACTCGCTCTTATTCTACTTACCTGTAATAGCTATCATGAAATTGCAGAAACAATGAACGAACTAACAAGAAGACATTCAATACCTCCTCATCAGATAGAACATCGTCCGAAAACGTTTCCTTCACTTTGTCCCACCTTTTTGCTAGAACTTCTTCTGACTTGAAGTTGTGAAAAAAGCCTGCAAACAGCTACAATAAGACCTCGGTTCGATACAGCTTTCTACAAAGGGCCTAATTTACATAGCCTGTAGCGAGGTCTGCCAGAATGTACTGATTCCATGCTTTAACAATAAGCTAATCATATTACTCAATACAAACAACACATTTAGAAAGTCTGACCTATTCTTGGAGCTCCTTTCACGCTACAGTAGACAAAATGAACACCAGCTGGTATCATTTTCAGACCCATGAATTTTGGGCCAACAGTCCACGACTTGTAGTCTATTCCGAATTCATGCCCTTCCGGGAAGTCCTTCAATATCTGTAATAGATTCTACAGTAATCTGAGAACACCAGTGGGTCATTGTGCTTCACGAAATTGTTCTAAACGACGCCGCTTGGTGCAATGTTGCTACCCCCTTCGTCTCCCAAGCCCTCCTTCCCACCAAACCTCCATCTCTTTTTCCCCTTCTCGTCCCCCTTACTTGGATTTCCACCATGAGAAATTCGAGCGATCCTCATCCGTGCCCTGATTGGGTGAATTCATAGCAGTTGAGTCATTAATCGGTTCATGTTCAGCAAAAACTAAGTCAAGCATTAGACAATGGGACTGCTCGACACTAATCTACCAGACCTGAGATGACAGAATCAATGACGATAACATGAAGAACGAGATCGAATTAAACGGCATACCATGAAAGCACCTGAAGTATACATGTAGTTGACGACTTCCGGTGGTAGTTCTGCGCCATGCTTGAGGGTGTGCAATATATGGAATGCCATAAAACCACTGCAAAATTGTTGTGAAAAACAGACGAAGCTGAACTGATGCTGCATTTATGCCAAAAAGGCACACCGCTCATTCACGAATTACTCTATTCAATATGCTGAAAAGAAATGCTTAATAGTGAAAAGCATTCTGCTAGATATGACTGTTTGAAATAAAACAGTATGCAAATGAAGAAAGATGCTTAATGTCCTACTGAGTTCAAGGTAACTCAGCACATTATCGTCCTCTATCATCCGATCCTTTGTTAATACTCAGACACCACGGTTTCTATTTATAAAATCGAAAAGAAAAAGCTTGGCAAGGAATAGATACGCTAGAGAAATAGTGACAAACAAGCAATAAGTAAGAGGCTAGAGGCGAAAGTTGCCCTAAACAAAAGTCCAGCATGCCTACGACGAAGCGAAGAAGTCCTAATTCTACTAAAACCTCGATAAGCCTTGAACACCTGAATTCGAAAAACAAAATGTGGCGGCAAATAGAAAACTTCGCAAAGAATTGTGCGGTTACAGACACTGTTCACTGGCAACGCCAAAAAGGCGCAATTTTTTAAAAATTACCCTCCGAAGCACCAGTTAATTTGTTTTGTTCTAATTAAGTGAAAGTTCTGTTTCTCTGCTGCAAGAATGACTTTGTAGTCGTAAATGTACTGGAAAGAGATGTGGTTGTAGAGGAGGAATTAGAGGAGGTTACATTTACAGGTCTGCTAGTTTGTTTATATTTTAATTTGGTTTTTCCTTATCTATTCTCTTATTGTTTCTTTGCCGCTCGTTATTAAATGTGGTCTAATGAACTCATGAGATCACGCGTGTTTTCCGTTGTTGTTTTCGCAAAAGATTGATGACCACGTGCCTGAGCAGGCGTGGGTAGACAAGACATACCCTGCGTTTACCTCCGTAGCACTATACCAAAACTGGTATATTTTTGAGAGTTCTCCGTGTGATTATGCCCTTTACAGCATTGTTTTGTCTGGCATAATTAAATCGCAGCAAATTCGACATCGAAGGAAAGAAGTCAGTTTCGGGTTACAAGGCAACACGAAACTACAAAGAATTACTTTACGGTAAGGAAAACCTTTTTGTGTCTTTCGATTTCCGTTCAATCTTGCATTTCTACATCGTTTTATGGTAGATTCACGAAGGTAAGTTTAGTGGGAACAGGAAAGAGACCTAAATTATTCTAATTTGTTTATTCGAAGGAATGTGTTCTATCGTGGAACGTGTTCACTTCGAATATCTTTCATTTGGGAACGGCGTTACAGTTTTCAAGGACGCCGTCAGTGACCAAAGACTTCGCATAATAAAGATGGTAGAGCGAATCACCTGATCGCGCTGTTCACTTGACCATCATTGGATCACCATTCCTGACCAGACTCTACTCCTTATTTGGATCTTCTAGTTTTTAGCCTGATTAGTCATCCCTTTTGTGTTTTCTTCCGCTATCTCCTCATTAATTGACCTTTTTCCTCATCCTATTACGTATAAATATTCAGTTTCTCGTCATCGTATCGTAAGTTCTGTCGAATCAATATCTTATCAGAGTAAGACTGAACCCCTTCGACCTCTTCATTTTTATGCATATTTCGTCTATTGCCACTAAATCGGCATGAATAATAACGAATGTTCAATGCGAAATTATCTTATATGGCAGTTGGGGCACACTATACACCTAAGAGATGAGTGCTGTGATCGATTGTTTCTTGCCGCGCCACGCACTCAAGTACGCCTAGGAAACGTCATGAAGTTTGGATGTGTATTGCATTTCTGCAGTCAATGGGATTGCAGGCTGATATCTAGGCTAGTGTCCTTTACTACTTGGACCAACCTAGTGGCTTCGGTTGAGTGACCTGAGACGACTGAACGTCAAAGTTAGTGGAGAGCGAGAAATGTGAAGCATATTCTTGTATTTTTCATTTCTCGATTTTGTTTTTTCTGGCGTTTTCAAACAATCTCTGTGCAATCCCTGATTACTTTCCAGTTAGTGAGTATTCATCGTTTCACTTCTGTTTTACACAGTTCTAGGAGAACCCTCTTCAGTGATCACACGGGGGTGCGGGCCGAACTGGTGCTATCCTTCCACTGTCTGTTTCCCTGTTTATTTGCTAAGGTTCTCGTACAAATAGGGAGCACACGCGATACCACAATTATGCCAACCCCTACCTAAAGTGAGCCAACTTCTAAGCTAGACAGTTGCTAGTGCTCAAGAAAAAAGCGTAGTCATGGCCAAGTCACACAATTTTCAGAGAGGCTTTCGAAATACGAATCCTCCCATGGTTTTGAAACTGCAGTTGCTTTGCAAGGTTCTTTTAAACCTTCTTTCAGTATCAATGGTATCACCTACTCTACTTTTTCTCAGAAGTCATTTCTTTGAGCTGTAGTACCCATTGACTTCGTTGCCAGAGCTTCGTAATCTGCACGACTCAACCGCACACAAATCAGTCTGCAGACTTTGCGAAAGTTCATTTGACCTTTACTGCAGCAGTTTCGTTTACTGTACTTTTCTTCCGTAGCGTACTTACTACTTTTGAAGTTTCCTGGCTTAGTTAAAGTTTGATGAACAGATCAAGTCTCTTTCGATAAGCGGCACTCAGTTTTTCGGAGGTTTTATGAGTTAACGAATTCGGATCTCAACTAAGTAGCTCACAAAGTTAAACGGGAAAACCAGTACGATTACATTGGCTTCGATGTAAAAGGACATCATTATCCCTGAAACAAACCTCAAAAATGAGAAAGTACTCTCTACTAATCTCGTGCACTCTGCGCTACCGTCCTTTACCTGATTGTTGTTTTATTGTATCCTTTAAACAACTTTTTCATATTACATCGAAGTATTCCTCACTTAACCTTCATGTAGGTTTTTAGATATGTGTTTATTTCTTTGTTGCCTGGTAACCGTCGCATCACTTTTCGTGGGCAGAAGTTTAATTATAGCCGCTGCCTATCACATTCGCTCCTGTTAAGTGGATCCTCTGCAAGAGATTCTTAACTTCGGGTTGTTTGGAAAGTATCTAGGTTGGCTAGGAGACAAAAAAGAACTTATCTTGTTAAGTACCTTTTGTGCTGAAGACTATTGGATCACTGGTACTTCATAATGTGCTGGGCTTGTGCGAGTCGGTGCTCATCAAATCAGAGATTTTTGAATTTCATTGAAATTTTACACTGCCTAGGATGGTCGCATGATCTCGGTCCCATTGAATAGATAAATTACTAATTTGCTAATATGAAAGTTCCACGGCAGCATATATGTAACGAAGTAATGGCAACAAAAGTAGTACCACTGAGAGACAGCTGGAATGATAAGATGGAAGGCTAGGTTTGCCTAGGCAGATATCGAACCGGGATTCGAGCTCGTGACCGTGCGTACGTGAAGTGCGCCACTTGCCACTACCCCACCACGGATGCTTGAATGTTTTTTATTTGAGTCTCTTTTTGATCCGATGAACGATCCTATATAAACAGCCCTATGCAGTCATCCACCCCCACGTGAACGTTTCCATATGGCTTGTGTGGTGATGGATCATTTCGCAAACGATCAATTGCAACGTCATGAAAGTACTTTTAGTGCTTTTTCAGCTTTTTCCTCTCGTGTCCAGCGCCTGAGGAGTATCAGTACTAGTAGTGCTTTTCAGGAAATACCAGCATTTCTGGATTTTTGATAATACTAAAAGTAGTAAAACATGCTTGGTGTCCTTTTTTGTTCTACATTCAAGTGATTTATTACATTCATGATCCTGTTGGGCTGTTTTCTTATTCATCTCCTTTTTTACGACTCACTCTACTGAATTTAGTGACATCATCTCAGTTTTATTCATAGAATATTAATTTTTACTGGGCTGTGCTTTTAGAAGTCGAAGTTTATTATAAATAAGTGACACAACAGTCCAAATTGAATCTATAAGGTCTTTCATCATGGAAATGATCCTTGCAGGAGCTTTTTTGAAAAACCCGTTCGGCATTGAGGTTCCAATTCGCCTTCTTTAGTACGATTAGGCTCATTCTCGGACACAGTGGAGGAAAAAAAAGAGAAATCAGTCAATTTTGCATTTGCGGAGACGACTTGCGGCTTTGATGACGGGTTTGTTCCCTGGCCGAATGAAAGTCAATTCAGTTTTGCAAAAAATAGGAATGAAATTTTTAGCTAAAATTAGTGTATTGTTGACATCTAATTTACGTTTTGGTACTGCGTCAAAAATACTCTTTCAATTAGGTACCCACTGTCTGAAAAAAACGTCCGTAGGGGTTTGAAGTGAATAAATGGAAGGAATAACATTCCGAAAATGTTTTTGTAATTATTGTTTTGGTGTTCATAGCTGTTTTGGTTTTTTCGAATTCCTAGACTTCAAGCATCCTTTCCTTTAACATTTCGATTTTTGATTTCAGTCTTTATCAGCAATTGAAGGGATCGGCTGCATGAGAATGCTTTATCATATCAGCCGTTGGGTGCCCCGCCTCAGCTCGAGTTTTTCACACTCTTAGCGCGTGTTTGCTGAAGTGGTCGTTAGACATTCGGAGAGGAAACTATGAGAATGGTTTTGTTTTTGAAAAGGTGTGAAATGGTGGCTGAGAATTATTTCCGACGAGAACTGGTGACTTGGTGGTTAGTCTTTTTTGTGATTTTTGCTCCAGTCCGATGGGTACCTTCCGGATCCAATTGGCAATGTGATTAATTTCTGCTTTCATGGCTATGTACTCCTGCGGAACTGGTTTCGTATAGATAATAATTCATTAAATCATTGCGTTTTACTGCACATTGCACACTGATGAGAGTTTTTGAAGAATCACTGGCTTATACACCATACTATGGTCGCAATTTATTGTTATTTCGTCTCTATTTCTNCCAACTATCCGCCTAAATGTCTACGTTCCCAAAAGGGAAACGAATGCATGGTGCACTCAATTCTAATTCTCAAATTGCCGTCTCCAATAACTCCCACTCCTTGCTGTAGACATCATTCATGACGGATACTGTGGGAGAAGTTGGGAATACCTCCTTAATG